TGTTTTACATAATGCTTGTATTCCCCTGATTCTTATAGAGGAATATGACACTTGAATATGGTAAGAACTGACTAATCTTCTTCGGCGGCTTGTAGAATGTTCTACTAAAAGCTCGCTCGAAGATGTAGCGAATCTTGTCTGTGACACCTATGACATATAGTAGTACAGCGGGCACACGCTTGACTGTGGCTGACTTCACTCGGTCACTGTGATATAGGCGCAGGACCCGAAGCTTGTTGTAGTGCAGAACCTGCTTGACGTGCTGAAGTTTCGCGGCTAGTTGTTTGCTGTCACAGATCTCTCGTGCTCTCTATAACCATTATTTGCCCACGGTAACTAACTATGAAGGATAATGGTGAGATTCACCGTTCAAATATCGATTTGTATGGGTATTTTTTTCTATACACAGTGTGACCTATGGTGTTGTTAGGATTTCTGATAACTAGCACATCTTGGAAAGCTAAGCAATTATTGGTCTCTAACTTTTTTCTTAGTACAACAACAAACGAGCACACAATGCACCTGATAATAAGTAGATTCTGTGACTCATAGACATTTAACCTCAATTCAAAAACAAAATATCAGACGGGTTTTGTACTCTTGTTCTGTATCCTGCTATAAAATACTTTAGCACCTTGATAAACCATGATGGATATTGTCAATACACACACTTTCCAGTCCAGTAGCAGTCATTCCCTTAGGTGTTTCATACTCCGGTTCTTTACAATTCACAATTTTTTTTATTAATTATGACAAGATAGATATAAACAGCTTATGAAAATATATACTATGAAGCAGTAAAAAGTTTTATGAAAATTATGTCGTTTTAAACTCAATTTCATCTTTTCTTTAAAATTCCTCTATATCGCCAACTAGTAAAATAAAAGTTATTTGCGCGTATGATTTCTTTTTCATGGAAAATTTTGTAAAATAAAAACGTGATATATTATATAAGAATTTATCCTCTGTTAAGCTAAGTACGAACGCCTCCATCAGGTGGTATAGTAGTCAAGTTTTCACTTATAATAGCAAAAACACAAAAGAAATTGGAGGCATGATAAACGAACTGTACATTGTCACTGTGTTTTTTCTCGTCGTGCGATGACAGCGGTCATGTAATAAGATTGAATGTCTCGTTACCATAATGATTTCTTAAATTTACGCGAACACTACACATTGAATAAAACTAAATTTACAGATTTTATCGCGTTTTTTTCACTACTTTTACTTATTTTTACTTATTTTTAATTCCCGACGTCTCGGGTGCTTTACAGCAACCATGGTCACGGGGGGATTGAGATGTTTGACGTCCCAATGTCATAGTTAGTCCGGCTACCTTCAGTTTTCGAATATTAATTTTTGGTCCGATTTACGCAAAACGAGCTTATAGTATCATGAAGTCTTGCAGTGGTATGCTTAGGTTTGGGTTTAGTTTTGTTAATTATAGGATCCCAAGCAGGTGGCAGCACCCATCCATCTTCTCTATTGAAATTTGGATGTTTTTTAATTTCAATAGCCTCGCGTATCATCCTTGGTAGGAATCGGTGTTCTTTTGCGAGAATTTGTGGTTTATCAAAACGAATGTAATGGTGGGGACGATCTTGCAGGAGTGTACAAGTTAGATTGTGAATGTGGTCTCTCTTACATAGGTCAAACAAAAAGATCCATAAAAACCCGCGTGAAAGAACATATAGCTGATATGAAGCACCAACGCTCCGGGAAGTCTGCAGTCTGCGATCATATTCAAGATCGTCCCCACCATTACATTCGTTTTGATAAACCACAAATTCTCGCAAAAGAACACCGATTCCTACCAAGGATGATACGCGAGGCTATTGAAATTAAAAAACATCCAAATTTCGATAGAGAAGATGGATGGGTGCTGCCACCTGCTTGGGATCCTATAATTAACAAAACTAAAACCACACATACAATGACAAAAAATTTAAGTGTTAAATTTTTTGTCAGTCCGCTGTCGCGCGCGATTGCAAGTGGACAGCTGCGCCTATACTTCAGCAAAAATGGCTTCGGATATTGTAAAATGTGCAAATTGTAATATAGTGATTAACGAACTACTAGCATTTATTCAAAATAAGGCGGATGTAATGGACGAGGTTTCTCTTACAAGATTATGCTGTGATAGTTTTTCTGATAGTGAAATAGTGGCTGCAAAGAAGCTGTTCTTTAATTCTGTCCCAGAATCGAAGCGCAAAACTCGCAAGAATAAAGGTAAAAATGCTCGAGACATTGATGATCTCATATGTCTCTTTAAAACTACCGACCCTGAATTAGTACCTATCTTTGTTGCTCGTGATCTTCGAAAATTACCACCTATCACGTTTGACCACATAGATGTAACGCAGCTGTTAAAAGATATTATTACGCTAAAGTCCGATGTACACGCTTTAAAAACTGATAGCGCTACTCTAAGTCAGCTGTTAGATCTAAAAACGGAGATAGATAATCTAAAACAAGCATCAATCATTTGCAATAAGTTTGACTTTGTCAATAGAAAAAGAGGCAATTTCACAGCAGATTTAGAAAACTATGATAGTGTGCCAATGGCATTGCAAAATTATTCCCAGGAGATCCCGGGTAAAGACAAGTCACCTACATCTTTAACATCACAAAAGAACTATAACAAAGTTACTCCTACATAATCGTCCCCGTAGTTGGAAAATTAAATAACTCTGATTTTGTAGTTCTGAGATAAACGCGATTTAGTGTTTTTTTTTTCAGTTAATGTACATTTGTTAAAAATGTGAGACAATTTTACTGTAGGTAATTTGATATTTTGTGGACCTGATTACCTTTTTACATTATGCTTTAACAAACTGAACTTAATCTTTAACTATAACTAAATAATACATAAAAAATCAAGTTGTTTAATTTTGCCACAACTGTTATTTATAACGTACTACAATTATCTACTTATTTCGGCTATTTATTTAGTTTTCCTACAAACTATTTAGTTACATTATATTATATATATTCAATAAATGCATTTATTTCTCCAAATTTTACTCTACCAAATATATAAATACATTTGGTAGAGTAAAATTTGGTGAAATAAATGCATTTATTGAATTTATCACTCGAAATATTTTGAAATGTAAAATTTTGCGGCTTTGTACATTATTATTATTTCGATATTTTTTTAACTATTATTGGTCTCATATAAAATAAAAGTTGTTTTATGATATTAATAAAGTTATATTCAGGAAGAAATAGAAAAGTAAAATAAAATTTAGAAAAAGTGTATTGTAATCAGATACTTATCTTACCACAAACTTAAAAAAATAAACAAAATTACACCAATTATAACAAGTGGAAACAAATTAACTTAAAGTATTCTTTCAAATCAAAACAGAAAATAATTTGAACCCAAAAATAACATTATGGCTTTAAAATCAGACCTAATTTTAAAAGACGTACTTAAGTAGTAAGTAAAAAAAACTATGAAAAACTTAAAATAGGTATCAATTAGAACTAAAAAACATAAGTTTGTATGAAATCAAAACATAATTAAAACAGTACTATAATCCTATTCTGTGTTAAAACTCAAAAAATTAAAATTGTTTGCACCTAAGCCATAGGTCAGTACTCAACTAAAAAATGAACACCAAAACAAAGGTACAACAATCATTATAAAACTTTCAAACGACTCAATTCAACTAAAAATATTTCGTAATAAGGTAAGTAAAACACAACACTTAAATAAAACTCAAAACTCCAAAAATAATATGACACTAATCAGGTCCATTGAGTACACCAATCAACAACTTATTCTAATATCAATTTACTTAGAACTAAAAATACTTTCATAACAAAATAAAACATAATTTAAATTCAAAACAATTGAAATGGCTGTACCTAATCAAAACTTAAATGTAAACTTGTAAAAAAGACATAAACATAGGTACCCATTCATTCAAACACAGCGTAAATCCCTTCAAAGTTAGAGTGAACAGGCTCCTTCTGGGTAAGCTCGCTCCATCGTAGACCTTGTCTCTGTCATCTCTGACCAAGACTAGAGTCAAGAGCAAACACATCACAAAAAAAGTATAATTTAACAATTTAAAAACCCTATTGTAAAATCATTTTACTCATGCTGTTAGGGTTTAAAAGTTTTGTTTAATTTTCAGCAATATGTAGAGCAAGGGGCCAAAATAAGCTTACTCATCGACTTCAGATGAATCAGTGGAGCGTGATGGACCCTGGTCTTCGTTTAAACATAGTAAACTTTCGTACCAGCCGTGAAGCTCCTTTGGAATTATATTTTTCTTACAGAGCTGCAAAAGGTCTTTCTTTTTTTGTTTTGTTATAGCAAGACATTGTTAATATGCCCGGGGAAGATCTTCAGTATTTATAGCTGGCATTTCAGAGTTTGGAGTTCTCCTAGTCGGTCTCCCTGGTTTACAAAGAGTATTTAGTAAGTTATATTGCCCATCGTAATCGTATCTGTATTTAATAAAACCAGGTAATTCTTTTTCAAATCTAAGATATTTTATAATTAACCAGCACACTTTCTCCCCATTCTCCGCTATAGTTTTGTTTTTAATTATTTTCGAAACAAGTGCTTTTACATCAATTATGTCTTGATATGATAATTCAGTTATATTATATGGAGTTACATTTTTATTTTGTCTTTTTGATCTTGCGCGTAGCATAATTCCCTTCCAATCTATTATAGAATACGTGTCTGTGTACATTTTTTCTTTTTCTATGGCACTATGCATTGAATCTACTTCCATAAAACTATGACCACTTTCTAGATACTTCTGTTCTAATACTTTGATTGTCGCATGCGTATGTACTAAGTACAATAAAAATGCTGCTATGTACCGATTTCGGTTTTGTCCCGAGCACGTGTCGGAATAAATGGTGACGTGTGTTAAAACCTCTGGGAGATTCTTAATCCGTAAATGAATAGCAGATGCTATTTCAACACTGCCTCTTTTGCCGTTTATTTCTGTTCAGATCATACAGTGAGCGTCGTTCTATGGAGGTTTATACTCATAAATAGATAAATTATATAAATTTAATTTTCTGGAATAATACATTAGACTATCTGCAGTCGATGGAATCTGCAGTAGACTTTGCAAGTCCATGGTGACACAAAAATATGATTCATCTTCTCCCGACTTCTTTTTATCCAGCTCTTTAGATCTATAAGATGCCTCTTTTCGCTCTATATGTTGAGTATACTCATTTTGAATATTTATATTAGTTTTATCTTTTTTGTAATTGTTACAAATGCTACATTGATCCTTCTTGGGGTGATAGAACGCTAAATTATATTCTGTACCAAACACTTTCTTATAAATGTTTAATTTTACTGGCACTTTATTGCTTTCTTCCATTTTCTGCACATACAAATCATACATTTTTGATATTGACAAGGTAGGTTCTAAGTATTTCCTGGTTGTTTTTTTTTCTACAGCAATGGGAATCAATTGCAGGAAAATTTTCAATGTGATTTTTTTACCTCTTGTATCTGTTCTCCAGGAGTTTTGTTTGCAGGCGCTTGTCTGCCACGATTATCCATTTTTGTAAATACACCATGATCCAGGACCAGTAGAAATGCAAAGAGTGGACATAAAATAGTTCTTGCATACTCGTTCATATACAGTCTTATTTTTATAGAAACCGTATTCTCTGCTAGAACTTTTTCGATCGGTACAGATTTTTTTGTAGTCTGCACTGGCTTAATGATGATGCGCTTAAGCAAAAACCCTTTTTGCAGCTTAAAATCTTGTATAGACCAATAGGATTTGCAAAGTTTCTCACGCTCGTTTTGTGTAAACTTTTCTGTGCATTTCTGGCGAGAATTTTGGCTGCATTTAGGACTTTTAGGTAGTTTAGCTGCAAGAAAGTTTCCAGTTTTACTCTTATATGGCAAACATTTTCGTTTCTTCTCCAACTCTTTATTTCTTTTCCAGTTTGTTTGATTAGTATTTTTTCCATCTGTAGATTTCTTTTTACTTATTTCCTGTTCCTTTTTCTGAATCTGTTGTCTCAGCGATATTGATATTGTGTTCCATGATCCTTCTATCACGGTTAAGTGGTGAGACTGGGTCAATAGGAGTTTCAATAATAGCGCGAGTTGTTATAATATTACCTGTTTCATCTTCAGAGTCACTCGACAAAATGGGGTTTATTCTAAATCTACCTCGCGAATCCATTATTGGTCACTCTGACGTAAACGAAATAGAAGGTCCCGTATTAGACTAAAACGCACGACAAGCGAGCGATGCATCAAACCGCACCCGCTCACCCCCGAGCTCTCCGTCGTCGTTCCCGAACAGAATATTTCGCGCAAAATTCTCTTAAAAATTTAATGATGACTTTCCTCAGGTGCATTTTGTTTTATGGCAATTATAAACAACTTAATTTATTTAATTTTATTTGCCTAGTATCTTATAATTAATCATTATCTAGTTGTAGAAGAAATAGATAACATCAAGTATTTATAAATTAAGTACGTTATATCAGTATTCTGAATAGCAGAATTAAATAAATAGAGTTATTTAGTTTTCCTAGAACTTAGTTAGTTTTGTGAAAGAATTTTGAAGTTGAAGAAAAATTCAACAACACATGTTATTTAATTTATTTGACATTCAACTTATCATTGACTACAGTTATTGATTTATTTACTGAGTTATTTATTTTTCTTTAAAAAAATAGTGTTTGTCTGAAGATATTTATTATTCCATCTGTCCGACAAAAATGGCTATATTTTTGGAACGGAATAAGATACGAAAACGCCTGTAAGGCTCAAATATGCGGCATGTTTTAGGTGTTTTGAAAATACGGAAAAGTCAATATCGCCAAAATCGGACTTATTTAATTTTCCAACTACGGGGTATGTAGGTATGCAACAAAATATTTTATCAACGCCGCAGAGAAATAATAACATCGCGGAGCAATCAGCTGGCATTACGCATACAACAAGTGTTAAAGAATTGTGTAGTGCTATCTCGCCTACGCAGGTAAAGGAAGCTAATGAATTAGCTCGTGTTAGTGGTAAAACGAATAAACGGTGTGTGTCCACTACTATTTGTTCAAATACTACGAACTCGAATGTAAACAAAGAGGTTTCATCATATTGTCATTCTAATGAGCGAAAAACGTTGAATAGTATGGAAGTGGAACGTGAACAAATAGTAGGGGAAAAGTGGACGTTGGTTACTAATACGAAACGAAAAAATTCAGCGTCCGGTAAAAGGATTGGAAAAGCCGATGTTGGACCAGATGGAAAATTTAAGGCAGCAATAATCAAAATTCCTTTGTTTATTTCCAATGTGTCGAAGGACACAAAGGAAAGTGATATTATTGCATACACTAAAGATAAAATACAGGAAGAAACGTCTTTATTTAAAATTAATAGAAAAATTGAAAAGAAATATAATTCTTTCAAGCTTTATGTGTCCAAGTCAAAGCTGGATGTTTTTCTTGACTATAAATTCTGGCCTGACGGCATAACCTTTAGGCGCTTTACAAATGATAACTTTAAGTTAAAAAACAGCATTAATAGCATAATGAAGCAAATAATTACATAAGAATAGATAAACAAATTTATAAGTCAACTAAATTAGCCTGTTTTAATTGCAAATCTGTGAAACGCTCAATTGATGCAGTTAAGTTTCTGTGTCAAAAAGTCGATATAGTTGCTCTCCAAGAAACGTGGTTGCTTCCCTATGATATCCCATATCTTGCCAAGATACACCAAGATTTTGAATACACAGGAAAATCAGCTGTGAACATATCAGAGGGCATACTCAAAGGACGACCGTATGGTGGTGTGGCGATTTTGTGGCGCAAAGGAGCTTTTGAGTCAGTCACAGTAATAAACTGTGCTAGTGTGCGGCTAGCAGCAATAAAAGTATCCCTCGGTGACAAACACTTTTTAGTGTTTTGTGTATATATGCCGACAGACGCGAGTGATAACCTAACAGAATTCACTGAATATCTTAGTGAGGTAAGCGCGATAGTCGAAAGTTGTGACGTGGAAGCAGTGTACGTCCTTGGTGATTTTAATGCTCATCCTGGTGAGTCTTTTGGACTTGAACTTTTAAAATTCTGTTCTGAACAGAATTGGATTTGTGCGTGCGACATTGAAAAGTTAGGTATAGATTCTGGTAACTATACATTTGTCAGTGATGCACATGGCTGTAGACGATGGCTTGACCATTGCATTGTCACACAAGCTGCTTGGGACACTATAACTAACATAAGAATATTTTATGATGTATTCTGGTCTGATCATTGCCCCTTTATTGTTGAGTGCAGGTTAGACACTATTAAAACGAAATTAGAATTTGCGATAAAATCATGTAACAAAGTAATATGGGGCGAAAGGGTCAGTGATGAATCGAAGTATATTATGATATGTGTATTTTATCGCTTAAGGCCTGAGCAACTTAGCGTATGTTATAATTCACACTGTAACAATACCCATCATAGGTTAATTCTTGATGAAATGTACAATAATATTGTTACTATTTTATCTGAAGCCGCTATACAGAGTTATGATGACCATAGATGTTATAAGCATAGTGGTCGTATTGTAGGTTGGAACAGACATGTGAGGGAAGCACATGTGATCGCTAGGTTTAAATATCGCATATGGCTGTGGCATAACAAACCAAGTAGTGGTCCTATATATGACGATATGTGCCGAACACGTAAAATATTTAAGAGCAAACTAAAATGGTGTCAGAACCATCAAGAGCAAATTCAACTCGATATCATAGCATCACATCGTAAGGCAAATAATTTCAAAAAATTCTGGAAAGCCACCAACAAACTTGATATTAAGCCTACCCTGCCTGTGTGCGTTGGAGGTGTAAATGAACCTATTAGCATAGCTAATATGTTTGCAGAGCATTTTAAAATAGAGTCGTTGCTAGTTACATCGCAGCCGATGCCCGGAGATGAGAGCTATCATGGCAGTCATGACTTCATTCGTTTTACTCCTGAAAAAGTGGCAGCTGCCATTAAAAATATGACTAGGGGGGAAATCTCCCCGGCCATGATTCTCTCAGCATCGAGCACCTGCAGCATGCCGGACCTCACCTGCCTCGATTACTCGCTACGTTCTTCTCTTCATGTCTCTGTCATTCGTATCTGCCTCACGACCTTATGCGGACAATATTTGTGCCTATAGTTAAAAATAAAACAGGTGACGTAGGAGATAAGTGTAATTATCGACCCATATCTTTGGCAACAATTATGGCTAAAATACTTGACAGCCTGTTGGATACACAGCTGGAAAGTTATATTGAGTTGCACGGTGCACAGTTTGGGTTTCGGTCTGAATTGTCTACTGAGAATGCTATCTTAGCCCTAAAGCACACTGTTGAATATTACACAAAGCGACGTACACCTGTATATGCATGTTTTTTAGATCTCTCCAGAGCTTTTGATCTTGTAAATTATGACATATTATGGGATAAGCTACGCCAGAAAAAGATTCCAGCTGAGCTTTTGAAGATTTTTCAGTACTGGTACAATAATCAGTATAATAATGTGAGATGGGCCGATAAGTTCTCTGACAGGTACAGATTGCAATGTGGGGACAGACAGGGAGGAATTACGTCACCAAAGCTTTTCAACCTGTACATAAATGACCTAATCGTTGAACTCAGCAGCAAAAAAGTCGGATGTCGTATCGACGATGTAAGTTTTAACAACATAAGTTACGCGGATGATATGGTGTTGCTGAGTCCCACGGTTAAGGCCACCAGAGAACTCCTTAAGATATGTGAGAAGTATGCGTTAAACCATGGCTTGCGATACAATGGTAATAAAAGCGAATTCATGGTGTTTAGGGTCGTTGGCTGTAAAAGCCCAGAAAATGTGCCTGCAATTAAATTGAATGACATTGAATTAAAACGCGTTGATAAATTTAAGTACCTAGGGCATTTTGTTACCGATGACCTAAGTGACAATGTTGATATTGAAAGGGAACGTAGGGCGCTGGCAGTCCGATGTAATATGTTGGCACGTATGTTTGCGCGGTGTAGTGAACAAGTAAAGATAACACTATTTAAAGCGTACTGTCAAATTTTCTACACGTGCAGCCTGTGGTCGAATTATTCACAGCGGACTGTCGACACCTTACGTGTACAGTATAATAATGGCTTCAGGATCTTGTTGGGGCTACCCCGATTTTGCAGTGCATCAGGCATGTTTTCAAAGGCGCGTACAGATGACTATTACGCCCTTATAAGAAAGAGAACAGCCTCGTTGCTTGGCAGGGTGCGGGATAGCTCCAACTCCATCATGAAAATAATTGCTGAAAGATACGACTCATTCCTCCTTAGGCAATATTACCGCCTATGTTTAGTTAATAAGGCGCTTATATTTAAGAATTAGATTTAGGTACTAACATAGGTTATAAGTTCCATATTTCCTAACAAATTTTATGGATCACTTGGTTATCTGAAATAAAATTATTATTATTATTATTAACAGAAATATCTGTCCATAAAATTGAAATAATTGGTTTCTATTTAGCTGTGAGTGAGTGGGCCTGATGGAATC